AAAAAGACAGCTTCAGATTACGTAAGTAAAATGAGAAAACGGGACATGTGATAGTGGGTTATAATGATTCTCCAAAACTGCCTCATCATACACGGGATGGCCTTTGAACAGGGGGAAACGTCATGATTCTTTATAAGTTCACTAAAAACGAAGATCGAGCCTGGAGTACTTTCTTGATATGTAAAGTTAAAAAGGAAACAAGCGTTTAAACCCATACCAGTTTTCAACAGGCCGAGACATCCAAATTACTTATAGTGAGCACACATGAATCTAGATTTGCAAGAAAACAAAATAGGAGAGTGCCTTGAATCTGTCATTTACAAGACTGATGAATCAGATGCTTAAGAAAATAATCAACGCGTACGGCGTTGCCAAACAAAAAGAAATTGAGTCTGAATTTTTTTTCTTATTTAAACAAGCTTTGTTTTTTAAACCTTTTTATTCTTATTCTTTTTCCCCTTTTCTTTTTCCTCCTGGTTAACGTATGTATATGCGAATAGTTGATGGTATTTGATTCGTTATAACCATTTTTAAATTAATTTAGATTTAATTATGTGACTAATAATAAACGTGTTACAACTTTCTAACAGGATCAGATCAATTCTCTTTGCTCCTCTATAAAAATGCGCTAATATATATACGAAAGTATTTAGAGTTCCTTACCGAAGGAATCAATACATTCATTACTTGTGAAAAGGTAAATAACTTGATATTGGTATACTTGTTTATTATTAAGTTAACCCAATGTTTTAAAGCTGATTGATATTACTATTTATTTGAGGCTCGTACATCGCACGGTTTTGTAAATGTTCACATTCCTAAACACCATAATTAATGTCGTATTTGACACCTAAATAAATCGAATACAATTACTATTTAATCTGTCTTGAGTTATAATATACTTCATATTTTATAACAGACACAGTACCAGTTCTCATAATCTTCTAACTGGAAATCATACCCTACATTGGACCCCGGTTGACTGATTTACTGCGGTTCCTTCTAGCGCCTACGATGAGTAATCAAGTAATCCAATCATCGCACATATTGCTAAATGGATAAATGATTTCTCTGCTGGAAATTCCGGACATACAACCATAGGCTTACATAACTATAAATTATAAGCTATGTTTCACGTCGTTACTGATTTATATTTCAAATCCAACAATTCTCAGTCTCTGGAAATGTTTATTCGATCTACACAGAAATTAATTGAAGTAATAATTTTATGTAAAAGGACCTCTATTTTTATCATGACAAACTCTCCAACGTATAATAAAGGATTAAAGAGTCTCATTTCTTTAGTTATTCATTTCTATATTTTAATTCTACCCTTTTATACTCAAATTATCACAAAGATCATTAAATCCATATGAAAGATCATCGTCATATGTCGAAAAGAAAGCCGTGATCTCATCTTCCATCTTATTTTTCTCTTCAATACGGTGATTGTTTGCATCTTTATCTACACCAAAAATCTCGTAAAAGTTGGTGCTTTCTTCAGCAGCACTGTCCAAACTTCTCTTCTTGTTATTTTTGCTGGATTTATCACTGTAGATGGCATTAATATTATCTGGTGGTCTACTATCAGATGCTTCGTACAAAGTTTTTATGAGTCTTTTACTTTGAGTCTTTCTTTTTTTAGACCCGTAAACAGGACTGATTACATTTTCATAGTAGTTGGCCAATTTGTTTCCATAAACCTGCGCAACGTTCATAAGTTGACGGAGGTCATTTCCCAATGAAAGTCCAGGGTCCACAAAACGGCACAAGTTTTTGTGAAAAGATTCGATTCCGTTCGTAGTTCTGGATTCATGCTCTTGCAATTCCTGCTTCATATTCGAATCGTAATTAAAAATAGTAGGTCGATCATGGTCATCCAACCACCATTGCAACCAACTAAGGCAATTTAGAAACGTCTTAAGACTCCTTCCTGTTTCAAAGAAGACCTCTTCCCTGGTCGTTTTTTGCAACATGTAAGCAAGAGAAATAAATTCTTTAGATTTACCGGCAGGAACAATTCTCTGGATTTTGATAATTCTTTGGACAGATTACATCCAATGAAAATAAAATCCTTTAATTAATGACAAAGAAGATTTATCGTCCATATTAAAATGCTCATCGCAGGCTTGATGAAAACCTCGTTGCTCAGCTTTATAGAAATCTAAAAGTATACCAAGAAAAAACTTTGATACAATTGCATACTTCTTAAACAACGCCTTGAAGTAGAAGGCAAATTGTTCGGCGGTTTGATGCTTGATAACAGCTTGAAAAAACACCATATGTTTTTTCATTTCTTCGACGTAGATGACGGATGAGACCAGATAATAACCGGAGGACACCGCTTTGTAAGTAACATCCGTGTTAATGGGGTGCTTGTCAAATGGCAACTTGAATTTTGTGATTTCAGGACAGGAAAAGATAATGCGAAATTCAGAACTCAGCATTTTTGCATGGTTTGTGGTGACCTAGCAAGGCTATAGCCATATTAGAGCTAACAAAGGTTTATCCATGCTGATACCATTTGTAATATAAGCTTAACAATAAATGTCATAGTAAGAACTATAAGGATATTACATCACAAGTCTAATTTAGTACGTCTGAGAAATACAGTCACACACAAGTGATTTTAGCGAAACCTTATTTTTGGCGTTTTTTTAACGCCACCCCTTTTAATAAAATCGTTTTTTCTCTCATATATCACTATTTAACCAGGTATGCCTTTAACAGACTCGACAAATAACACTCGTGGTAGCTATAATCCACCAACAGAAGATAAACTTTGGGGTATTTTTTACGTAAATAAGCACGGCATAACACCAACTGCCATTTCAGGTACAGTCGACGTACTACCGTCCACTGTGCGAAGTGTTATTAAAAGGATAAAGGAAACGGGTAGTCCTTTGCCTAAAAAGCAACCCGGTGCACCGAAAAAGATTGACCAGAGGGCGCAAAGACATATCGAACGTGTCATTAGAGACGATCCATTTGTCACATATGATGATTTGAAATTAGAGTTACAAAGGGCTGAAATTAACGTCTGTAGAGCAACTATTATCGCATCAGTAAAGGAGCTTGGATTTGGATCTTATTATGCAGCACATAAGCCACGTTTAACAGAGAGACACAAGAAAAACAGGCTTCGATGGGCACAAGCTCATGTGAATTGGACCAAAGATCAGTGGAGCAGTGTCGTTTGGTCCGATGAATCACGTTTCTCGGTAAAAGGGGCTGATGGAGGTGCTAGAGTTTTGAGAAAAGTTGGGGAAAGGTATCAAGAGAAACATATTGTACCAACTGTGAAGTGGGGTGGCGGTGGTGTTATGATTTGGGGTTGTTTCTGGGCTAAAGGTTTTGGTCCTTTGACTATCATTGACGGTACTGTTGGCCAGGATGAATATATCAATATTTTGGCAGGTAACTTTCATCCTTGGTTCCAGGAATTGAGTAAGAATAACGACAGGAGCTTTATACTCCATGAAGCTGGGGCTACCTGTCATACTGGTGCGTATGCAAGATGGTGGAAAGAGACGCATCAAATCAGTCGCTTTGAGTACTGGCCAGCACAAAGCCCTGATTTGAATCCGATTGAGCACATTTGGTGGGCACTTGAATGTAAACTAAAAACCCGAAGGGGTTCAATTAACAATATTAGTAGTTTGAGAGCAGCCATAGAAGAAGAATGGGAAAAAATGAGCTTCGAACTAGCAGATAGATTAGTTTCAAGTATGCCAGATCGATGCCGAGCGGTAATTGAAGCCCGTGGTGGACCCACAAAATATTGATTTTCATTTTTTTTTTATTTTTATGAAAATATATATACTAAATATCATATAAAAAAAATTGGAAGTGTTTTCCAAATTATTTCATTGTGCAATTAACATTTGAAGATTTGATAACAAATTCTTCTGATTTATTTATTTACTATTCCGCTAAAATCACTTGTGTGTGACTGTAGTTTAAATTTAGTTTAAAGCAAAGAAAGTTAAGAAGACTTAACATTTATTAGAACAAGACTAAATTAGTGACTATGTAATAATCTTATACATTTTTGGTTAACCGATGATAACTTCAAGATACCACTAGAGATATGAACACAGCAGACAGTCTTTTATATAAATACTCGTACATTTCATTTATTGATAAAAGACAATCTTATAAACAGTCTCAAACTACTCCTATAGTCTTTTTATAATTTTACCTAACCTTAAAACACAAAATGGTTAATAAAATTAGGAAAGTCATTTTCGATTTTATTGAACTCTTCGAAAAAGTCGCCATTGCTTTTGCTTTCAAGTCCCTGTCTAATTCTTGACTTTTTCAGCTCCATCTTAGCAAGTTCTTTATTTCGAATAATTGGTTTAATGTTTTGAATAAACTTAATATCTTGACGACCGGCAACTGCAGTAGTGGGCGTCATGGTAGGATTCTTTTCCAAAATTTAATCGAGTTCTAACTTTTCTGTCATAGAAAGATGCTTAGAGTTGTATACACCATGGGTGTGTCTTATTCTGCAATCCTTATTTACGATATGCATCATGGTACAAGTCCTGGTTTTTACTTTGAAGAGATACTCTACTTTGACTTTACATTTAATCCAGCTCAACCGCGTGTCGCAGTGATGACATTTACTTTGTTTAATAGCAGCCTCTCTGGTAAGAGGACTAGTTGCCTTTAAAGAAAATGGCAACTGCTTTTAAGACATTCAGTTGCTCCCAAGCATGACTTTACAATACGGTGGTCATGTTCGTGATCGTCATCTGTCATAAGCTTAGAAAGTCTTCTTTGTTGGGCTTATACTCATTTTCGATTGCTAATAACCAGCCAATGTTCAAGTCAAAGTCTTGGAACGAATTTTTAGACTCATTGAAGTGAGCTTTTGACGTCTCCTGTGGAAATTCTCGGGGAAATTGTATTTTAAACGTAGTCGTTTCTGACGTTATTGTTGTAATAAAAAAATTGAAATTTGGGTAAGTCATTAGTGGCTTATTACACCCCACGGAATACATATTTAACCGAGAATTACACCCCAAATAAATTACACCCAAATTCCCCGCACCGTTGATTTATAAGTTGATTGCGAATAATTTGTACAAGAAGTAAATGAAAATACTGTTTAGAACACAAACTTTGGCAAAGTGTAATTATACGTCTATTCACGTGACTTTCTCAAAAGATTACCTAATATACTCTTCATACGTCTTTTTTTTGTATGTCTGTTTTTTTTTACGTCTGTTTTTACGTCTGTTTAAATTTACAATTAGTCTAATCTTTTTACATTCCTATTCTTCTTACATGTTTGTTTAAATCAGTACGTCTATTTCTTGTACACCTGTTTTTTATACGTCTGTTTTTTTGTACGTCTGTTTTTTAAGTCCTGTTCTTTAGTAATACGATTTCCCAAACCGTTTACAATCAACTTAGAAGAATCTATCTCCTGGATATATTCTCTTCATCCTTTTTGTTGTATTTATTACACTAGCTGGCATCTCGATCACTTCGTGAGCGGAGGCAGCGTCTGAAACACACTCAAAGTTAATAAATATAGCCTTTATTTGTAATATATAAGGTGGTATAAAAGATGATCATTTTGGATAGACCCCCGGATCCCTCTCGGAAATAAATTTTTCAGCGAGGTCTAAATTCCGTGTTGCAAAAAGGTATGAATTGTAGTATATTATAATATTTAAAACCAAATATAATTACAACTCAACTTGCAGTATCTTTATAAATTGAGCGATATTATGACACCTTTGTCAATATTATTTATATTGTCAAATGACAGAACGTCAGTATATCACAGCACTTACTGCGATTATATCTTACATTTAATCTAAGGGACTGTGTAACTGTAGTAACTTATGGCACGTCTTTGATTATCAGGAATTCTAATCCTTAACTAATGTTAATGGGTTGCGAGCGGCTATGTGTATACGCAGATTCCGAACATAAAACGAATAACATTTATTACATACAGTAAGTAAAACACTTTTTTTTATCTTGTAATGAATTTGTGTTGCGAAGATATTACCAACTCTTGTCAAACATTAATTCGAACTGAGTAAAGATAAAATCAAAGTTATAATTCGTATAAAAGGACCTACAAATAAAAATTTTTGATGAACTTTCTAACTCGTCATAAAGAAATAAAAGTCTTTGAAAATGTCGATTAATAGATTCGAGCAATTTGCAGCTATTGGGGATAGACTTGCATCCGCTGAAGAATTTTTAGAGGTTTGTTTTTCTGCTGCTGCATACCAGGGATTTGAATTGCATACTCTTGATATTGCACCTGTTGGATGCAAGGATAAAAAGCCTTTCTATCATTTAGCTTGCGTGTTCCGTGACAAGTACAGAAATCAAGTTTCCTAAGGATCTCGAAAAAAGGTCAAATTGTCAAAATCCGGTACCTGTCTTTATTCTGTTAGAGCCTCACTCAATAAAAATATCAATTGTTGGGTCGTCGGTTCTATTGTGAATAGTCACAACCATGACATGCTTGAAGGTGATGATCGACTTTGTTTGTTAGAAAACAGAAGCTTAGATCTTAACCAACAAAGTAAGATTGAAGAATTGCATTTGGCTAATGTCAAGACTTCGTCTATTGTTGCGGCTGTCAACAGTGCATCCGTTTCCGGTACTCATGCCATAACAAAGGATGTAACCAATGTCAGATCAAGAATAAGAAGAGCTTTGAACGAGGGTTGTAATCAAGAGTGTTTAAATCCTTTTATTAAGAAGATGGGACCTAGACGTGATACTCTCTCAAGTCAGTATAACAACGATGGAAGACTTAGGGTGTTCTCAAGCAAATTATTTAAAATTTTAAAATTTTAATTTTAATTAAAAATATTTGACCCCACCACTATGGAGGGGTCAAATTTTAAAATATGTTTTCTGACATTAAAATATCATTTTAAATCGAAAAAGTACTAAAATCACATCACTCATTTTGTGTGGGAATTCTTTTCTTTCATAACAAATACTAAAAATGTCTTACAACGATAAATTATATTACTACTACCAACTTATTTGCAACCATCGCAACTTAGTTCTCGCTGAATACCAGCAGCTCATTGAGAGTCAAATAGCATTGAACGAACAGGTGTTTCTTTATTACAAGACCACGTTTTTAGATTCGCCCTCTCTCTTTGAGTTGACGCCTTTTCTCATTCAAGCTCATTTAACATACCCAACTGAGCCGGCCAACAATCGCCATTCATTCGCCAACTACCATTACTTCCGCATCTCTCACCCTTTTTTGACTGATGACGACAATCCACGAACCAGCTATCGCGCCATGTACCGTATGAACCGCACTACGTTCGAAAGGGTGGTAAACGAACTATGCAGAGATCCCGCTTTTCAGTCTAGAGCTGTAAACTTTATCCCTCCATACGTCCAGATTTCATGTGCAATTTGGCGCTTAGCTAACTGTCACGTTGGCTATCGCTGCGCCCACTTGACTATAGGAGTCTCTCACGGTAGTTACAGAAACTTTACGCAACGTTTTGTAAAAGCCGTTGTTAACAAATTCAAGCATCTTATCGAATAGCCCAAGGACGAGCAGCGTGTCGCTGCAATCAAACATGGTTTCCAGTATGGTATAGGCCGCACTGTTCGGGGTCTACCAGCTGTTGGAGCTTTGGACGGCAAGAACTTTGTGATTGAATCAAGAACGGAACATGCCGAGGATTGGAGGGATCGTAAGGGAGACTTTGCCATGAAACTTACGGCAGTATGTGATGATAAGAGTAAGTTTACTTACATTTCGGTTGGTGATTCAGGTAATAATTTATTTGTCCGATTGTATGCAATGATGTTGATCGTTTTGACATAGGTCGTTCACACGATGCTGCTGCTTTCAACCTCAGCGAGATAGCAACAGTTGCCTTGGAAAACCCCCAAGAGTACTTTCCTTTGAATGGGTATATCCTTGCAGGTAAAATATATAAGCGTGAATAAAATCTTCGAAAAAAACTAAATATGTTTTAGACTCGGCATACCCACTATCGCACCATATAATTGTGCCTTATCCTGCTTCGGAAGTCCTTGGAAGATCTGATGATGCTTTGGCTAAAAAAAAGTTCAACAAGATCCATTCGTCAACTCGAATGGCCATTGAAAGAGCTTTTGGTATATTGGTTTCTCGCTGGAGATTCCTCAGCAAACATATATACATCAAGGATACCGGCGATATTGTGGGTATTATCACAGCTTGTTGTATTTTACACAATCTGTGTATTGAGATGAATGACCCTGTTCTGGAATTAGTAGAAGATGAGCCGAACGATGTGACGAGCGATGTGCCTGCTGCTAGGCCGGATAGTTTTAGTCAGTCAGTCAACAGCACCGCCTATCAGAATGGTCAAACTAGAAGGGACAACATCAACCCCTATATGCCTCCTCAACAATAAACCAGTAATGTTTGTAACAAAATTATATATTTTTATTGATCAGTATTATTATCATTATTTTGACCCTGTTGGTTTCGATTGGCCATATCCTGAAGGATTGCATCAACAAGTCTTGTTGTTTCCCTGTTACTTTGAGCAAACAGTTCTGCCAATCGATCACTACGTGCAAGTAATGCAGCATTGGCCTCCCGACTATACTGAAGAAAGGACTGAAAGTGGTTGTCCCTTTCCAAAGCTTGAGTTTGTTGCACCCGGTCCAAGACACGCAACATGCTGTTCTCGATGCGTTGTTCAGACGCCGATGGTAAAGGCAACATCGAAGCTACTCTTACCTGGGTAGGTTGAAAGGGCTCCGATGCGCGTGCTGGTGTTGCTGGTGGTGCTGTTGATGCTGTTGGTGCTGGTGCTGTTGGTGCTGTTGGTGCTGGTGCTGGTGGTGTTGCTGGTGGTGCTGTTGGTGCTGTTGGTGCTGTTGGTGCTGTTGGTGCTGTTGGTGCTGGTGCTGATGGTGCTGGTGCTGGTGGTGCTGATGGTGCTGGTGGTGCTGGTGGTGCTGATGGTGCTGATGGTGCTGTTGTTGTTGCTGGTGGGGATGTGGTGGCTGTTGACACACGGGGTGTCTCTAATCTGCGTCTTGCAGTGGGAGGTTGATCTTGTTCACCGACAGCAAAGATCCCCTCGGAACGTACATTACCTGCTGTTGTAGGTTGGGTATCCACAGTACGTAACACATCGTCTGCAGTGTTTGTATGGGCAGTATTCTGGCTAGGACCACCAACAACCTCAGGCTCCAAATTGTCATCATCCTCAGGAGCATCTTCAATTCTTGTTCTGAACTCCCCTGAAATTGAGGAAAAAGTGACAGGTGGAAAATATGAAGGTAAGTCTTTCAGAATGCTATATAATTTGTCATAAATGATAGAACGAGCGGGTGTTGCTTGTCCAGTAGAATTACGGGTGGCGTAATTTCTTTTGAAATCCTGCAAAAGATTTGCCCACTTGCTTTTCAACTGTTCGTCGGTCCGAGGAGCACGTTCAACATTTGCTGCATGAAATTCACTCGCAAGAAGGTCAAAAATTTCATTTTTTTCCGCCAAGCTTCTAGCCGAATCCATAGCATGGAAGTGCTCATTATACCTTTCAATAAGCAACAAGGTCTCCGCTAGTCCCCATCCAGATCCTCTGAAGCGTTGTGAGCCTTCGAAATCATCTTCATTTTGGCTTCCACTTCCACGTCCACGTCCATTTCCACGTCCACGTCCACGTCCACTTCCACTTCCACGTCCACGTCCACGTCCAACGATTCCATTCTGGCTGCTCTCAGGCTGACCATCAATAGGGTAAGAAGCATTATTTTGGTTGTTCATTTTTAAAATAGGTAGAGGCAAAGGTAAAGTATGTTTATTTCGATAAGAATCAAGAAAGAAATAAAATAACATTGGCCTCTGTGCCATGTACAAATGACAGTTTAGCATTTTCCCAAATTGGAGTTGTGTTTTTTTGTGACTTTTGATTTTAATTAAAGGATTTATTTTAAAATTTTAAATAATTTGCTTGAGAACACCCTTACCCACCTTTTTTTTTTCCATGAAAAAACAATCGCCGACATTTTCCAATGTCCGGAAGTGATCATTGTTGACGGCACATACAGAACGAACGTATTTGGCTATCCATTGATCAACGCAATGGGTGTGGATAATGTTAGCAACGAAGCCAGCTCCGATTTGATGAACTTTTCTATTGCTCTGGGATGGGTAGCCGATGAAACAAAGGAAACGTACACTTGGTTTTTTGATACGTTGAAAAACAAGGTAATGTGGCTGAAATGTCTTATTGCAATCACATTTAGCTAATATTTTTCTCTTATTACAACATCACGTTACATTTGTACAGATTTAAAATAAAGCCAACGTTATGCCTGATCTCATTATTACCGATATAGTTGCAATTGTTCGTGGAAGTCTCGATTTGATTTTTCCAGATGTTGCAAAAATGATTTGTGTTTCGCACATTATAGCCCAAAATGTTTAGGCCAATTTATTTAAATTGTTCTGAAAATCCGAAGATTTCAAAGAATTCGAAGGTCTTTTCTGGGATTTGCATAGGTGTAAGAGTGACGAAGAAGTGCTTTCTGCTGTTGAGAATATCAAAAAACATGCATTGGTTTAAAAAAAACCCGAAAAAATCAATGAATTTGTCGATGAATTGTTTAAACAAAGATCTTATTGGATAAGACAATACACCGATAAGTTTCCTCAAATGGGCAATTATACAACCAGTCCTGCAGAAGCTGCACATAGTGCACTTAAAGGACACAATACGGCTATTTTTAAGTGCACTATGCCTAAGATATTTGTGCATCTTGATAAGGTTCTCAAAAACCAAAAGTTCAAAAGCAACATGGCCAAATGATTTTCGAAGATTTCGTGTGATCCATCATTGATTGGAAATCCAATCTACGCCAGAATCCTCAAGGTTATCAGCGCTTACGCCATTAAAAAGATAAGGGAGCAAGTAAATCTTTTTTACGATGAGATGAAGAAGAATGAACTAAGGCCATGCACTGGCGTCTTCAAAACTACCATGAAACTTCAGTGGAGACCCACAATTTTTGACGAAGAGTACAAAAACATCAAAGAAGGTGGTAATGGCAATGTATCAAATATACATGCCAGATCAGACATTGTTGTTTTGCTTTCTTCGATTGACAGAAGATGGCATATCAGTAAGGGGAATGCTGAGAAACAAATCGCACCCACAGCCGCAACGGAAAGTACAGGTAATGATAAGCAACTCTATTTTTTTTAAAAAAAAAAGAAAGTCCTTAAGTTATTTTTTTTTTATTGCACTCCAGACATGTATGCAGATGCAACCGAGACGGAGATCACTATCTTCAAGTTAAAGACGGCATTAGATTCAATTAAATTTAAGCATTTCAAGGACGAGAAGCTTGATTTAATTCGTAATTTGACGTCGGACATGGTTAAGCTTTAAGACATTGAGATCATTCAGCCTCCTCCAAAAAAAACGAAAGACTCAAACTTGCCATCCAGTCGTAAGTAGTGCTATATATAATGCTATCAATGTTGATTTTTTACTGATAATAGTATTATTATTATTAGAAAAACTGGCCAAATCAGGACGGATACTGTCTCAAGGCGAAGCAGTGGATGTCGATGTCCACAAAGAAGCGAGAATAAAAAAGCAGCAACAAAAGAAGACTTTGCCAAAACCCGTTTTGACAAGTCACATGCTGGAAAAGAGCGCCAGACTACAGAGCAAAGAAGTTACCAAACCCCACCATCATGTCCTTCAAGCTTGTATGCCCAAGTTCATGATCGGTCATGTTGCTTTGGTGACGGATGTTGATGGAGACGGAAACTGCGGCTTCCGAACTATAGCTACATCAGTTGGAAAAGAAGACATTCTGAAAACAGCAATTTCTGTTGGTGTTGAAGTTAATGATGAGTATGAAAGAGACGAAGATTTCTACATGTATGTTAGAAAATCTCTGTACAATCATCTGATCAGCAACAAAACACACTACTTTTCGTACATTCTTGCCGATTGTATCATGGAGTATGAAGAACTGTTAAAACGTATTCACCTATCGTACAGAGGTGGTTGTGAAATCAACAATTGGATGATAATGAACTCCACAAGTAACTATATGTTTAAATTTAATTATATATTGTAAAAAAAGCTAATTCTTCTAAACACATGTCCGGTTATCTGATTGCGGATTTGTACCCGCGCCCTGTTTATTTCTATTCACAGAAGAGCAAAAGTATTTGTACCTTCTTGCCGGATTGTCCCATAAACTCAAATCGAACCATCAGTTTTTTATTCTATGGAAACCATTACATATCACTTCAAATGTACCCAGACGGTCCTCTTCCCCCATTAACTAATAACTTAGAATATAGAAAAGCCATAGATTCCAACTATTGGAATTTATATGTCAACTCTAGAGTCGCTCTATACAAAACATTACACTCACAAGAAACAAGAAACTCCACTTTGATTGAATCAAACAACCCAGAAAAAGAACGTATTGACCTTACGAAAAATAAGATACAACAAAAAACCCACAAAAACCAAATAAGCTAAAAACAAGAAAAAATTCAAATAAACCAAAAACAACACGAAAATCAAAAAAACCCAACAAGAACAAGAAAAAATATTAATTAAAATCAATTTAAAAAAAATAGCAACAACCGCAAAAACAGCACCATTAAAAATAACTGCTCGACTTGTTTCCGATACAATTCTATGCAAGCCCAAACGTGTAGTCTTGCCCCCTCTTCCTCCACAGTCACCTTTTATTTTGAAAACCTTCGAAAAAATCCGTAACCTAGCTACGCCTGCAATCACAACGCTTTCTTGCTTCAAGTGCCAAAAGCACATTTTCCAAGACGGTGACCAGGATACGTCTATGCTCAAAGAATACACTGAAATTGACATCTTAACAAAGGAGCTTGATAAAAAAAAAAAAAAAAATGCGGAAAACAACTGCTACGAAAGAAAATACAAGAAACTTAAAGGTGAATGGCACAAATTAAACAATAAGCTTAACCCAAGATTAGATGAATTCTGCAATTCCCATAAAATCCAGCAATTTCTGCCAACAATTACCAGGTACAACTGTCTAAGTGTTGATTTTGAATCACTTAAACATCCCGCCTTCGAGTTGGTTAATAGTGGAACTGTCCAGAAACTAGTTTCGGGGGAAATCAAAAGTATATTTAAATCTAAAGCTGGTCAAGATAACTCCGGAACCCAAGCCAAGCTTAAACACTTTGTCCACTTCGAACAAAACAAAAAACCAGATCATCGTAAGAAATAAGATTAGCGTCAAATTTGACATATCATTTATATTGTATGTATCATTAGCCTGAATATTATGGCCCGAAAGGCTTTGAGGTCATTGGTCATGCGGCACTTTGTCGATTTAACCAGGATGAGTACAAAAATTCTGAAGTCAAGAAATCAACCTCTTTCAGACACCACAAATTTCTTACAATTATTGTCAATCCCGAAATCGCTTGTCGAATAATCGCTGAAGATCAAGGTGTGTCACTCGAAGATCCTGCCAAAATTATGATTGAAACTTATGAAATTCGTTCACTTTTAAAGCCATTCGACTTCACAGCCGATTTTGAAGAAGATTAGATAAAAATAATATAAATAAAAACTAGACCTGAAAAGCGACACATAGAAAATAAGTATTGTTGTGTTTTGAGGTAAGTAAAATTTATAAGGCAGTATATAAGTAATCTGAGACTGTTTATAAGATTGTCTTTATTATGAAATAAAATGAACAAGTCTTTATATAAAAAAGACTATCTGCTGTACCACTATCTTTAGTGTATCTTTGAAGTCGTTATCATATTCCCAGTGTGTATCCTGTTACCTTTAACTGCTTATTTTGTAAATATGTTACACTTGGAATTACTGTCATCTTAGTCACATTGCACTTCCATATCTTTAGTAAGCCTTGGTCACTGTGTTCTTGTAACCTTGTGATATGATAGTACTAACTATCTATATTGGGTAATTGATTCCTTAATCATTCTTGATGTATTGATGTCATAGATATGGATTTATGTAATGTAGCAACAATATAGCAGATCACCACAAGCATGTTTATAGTTATAGGAAAATTAAAGGTATGAATATTTAAATACGCAGTCGTTCAAACGTACAAACATACGAAAAAAACAGAACTATAAAAACAGACGTATAAAAAACATGGACGTACAAAAAAAATAGACGTACTGATAATTTAAACAAACATATAAGTTTCTTTTAGAGATGTGAAAAGAATAGACATGTAAAAAGAATAGACTAACCGGAAATTTAAATAGACGTAAAAGCAGACGTAAAAAAAACCAGACACAAAAAAAACAGACGTAAAAAAACAGACGTACATAAAAAAAGGGGTGCGCGAAAGCAGCGCACCGAGCTGTTACATAATATTTTATTTTATGTGCGCGAAATGGATGCGTTCAGAAATGGACAACGTATTTGTACTATATTTTATAAGCAACAGTACTTTGCTCAAGGAGGTCACTTCTTTAAATTTAAGTCCTATTTACATCTACCAAAAAAATGGACATTTTTGAAGTAACTGAATAAAGTAATCGCGAATGGTCGAAGCCTTCGGAATCGTAAGTACTTTTACTATTCTTGTGCATTCGCGTTCCATTGCCGATGAGTATGAAAGAAAGCTTAACATGGTTTTCGTTACTGTCGGATTAAAGCTAAAAAGCAACGACATCTTCTTCGTTTAAAAGCACTTTCGTGAAAACAAAGAAGCCTAACAGTAAAATATGTATTAATAATTGTTAATCTTTATCATAAGCATGCTATGAAGGAGTTACTTGTGTGGTATTTGACAAAATATTACATAGAAAAGTAATGAGATAAAAGTATATTTTTATTAGAGGTAAAAATAGACTAAAAGAACTCTGCTGCTATAAAATAATTGATCCTTTTTATATTGCACAAATCTCTTGAGTTTTCATGATGAGTCAACCTTTCTGGTTTTGGAATAGATCTATACTTTGTTTCCCGCCTTGGGTTAAATGGATACTACTCGTTAGAATTGTTTCCAGATAACGTTGTCACATATCAGTGGATCGGGAGCATGAGTATTCTAATAAATCTTTAGTATTACGAGACACTTATTTATCAGATCATGCAACGGTTACTGTTAAAGATGCATACTTGTTTGTCAAGTGTAATTGGCAATAGAACATAATACTTGATCATTTATTCATTATCTTTGTAATGAATAAATTACGATCCCAAATATAAAATGTCTTATCGATATTTGTATATTTGGTTGTAGAAGCTAGGTATCCATTAATTCATACACTATTTCTTTATACTCTTTATCAGCAGTATAATTGTATCAATATATAAGTAAATGAACCATTTATATTAATAGCTGTTCTATTCTCTCTCTGGGTAGCTAATCCATTGAGAGAACTATTAATATTAAGTTTCTCTTTCTTATAATTCTTGATTGATCTGAAAAGTTTCTCTTCTCGATCGGTGATATCGTAACTCAGTGGTATAGCATTCTGTATCCAACTGTCATTCGTATATCGTATTTAGACCAATCATGCAATCTTTTATATAGAAGTATGTACTCGAAGTAGGAGAAGTTGTATAGCAGTATACAAGCATATGCTGATATGCAACATCAAAGGTTGTTTTAATTTCATAGTTTATTTATTTAGACTATTTGCTTAATTATTCTTTAAGTGGATCGTACCCAAATACGACAACTTCATCTATGTGAAACTGATTATATGCGTCAATCTTATAAGATTTCAAATAAATATAATGGTGGGACCTATGATTTTTAAAGAAGGCCATATTGTATTTAAGTAATACATAAATACGATCTGCCATAGCGCATGCTTCGCTTGACGCACCCATTAGGCGCACATAAAATAAAAATACTATGTAATAGCTTGGTGCACTGCTTTCGCGCACCCAAAATGAATATATTACGTAACAATTATACTTTAAAGCCCGATTTCGGTGCGCTGTGGTAAGGCGAGATTTTAGGGAACGAATCACTCTAGCGCCTCAATAGCCCTCTGTGACGGTGTTTTGATGATAATCCTGTGAGATGATACGAAGAGATTATACCTTGTGGTAGCTTGAGTAGTACTATGTACTACTCAGCGATATTATAAAGTCGTAGTTTTTTCTAATTTAATAAAATCTAAGTCCTTTTACATCCCTAATTTTACGAAACAGTACATCATCCTAACGTGCGTGGAGTGTTGTATTATAGTCAAGAAAGTCTGCGGATAGAAAGTTTTATTAAGTCAATAGGTAAATCAGATCCCGATACAACAGCGCCAGCAGGTGGGCCAATGATACCCCTAAAAAAACAGACGTATGAAGAGTATATTACGTAATATTTTGCGAAAGTCACGTGAATAGACGTAGACTTTTTGACGGTACGCTTATAGTCGTGCCAAATCTAGCCAATAAAAGTGCTGGGAATAGTGTAAGGAGCCAATGGTAATGCTAGAAAGTTTTGTAGTGTAAGAAATCCAGCCAGTAAAACTGGTTGGAATAGTGTAGTGAGCCAATACAAATGCCAGGAATAGTGTAGCGTGTTTCAAACAGGCAGCGCTGTAGTCTCGAGCTGGTAATTAAATGTTTTTTTCGTGTGTACCCCTTTTGTTTGTCAATGTTGATTTTATATTCGCTCATTCCACACCTACATTGTTGAGGATGTCATAGATTATAATAAAAGAATCATCACATTTTACATAATAATGGATGATCATGTATAAATATTCATGGCTCACACTTCGCCCCATTTGTTATCATCAGAACCGTTGGTGTCTGTGCACAAGGTGATTTGCCTTGTGACGAGTAAAATATTATAATACCATAAAAGTTTAGTACAATCCCATAGGCGGAATATTCGGTTACTGAATATTACACGCACTAAACTTTCTCTTTGGCATTTACGTAATGTCACCTGCGGAGATGAATTTAGATCCTCACGTACTTTTGTCTTTACTTTGTAAGGCAGAAATTACTTCATAACATATTTATTTAAACAGACATTACGTATAACATTATATCATATTCCTCTAACGCGTCACATATATTATCCGAAAGCCATCTAATAATTTAGTATAAATACCTGTAGTTTTTGCTAGTAGAATTCCCTAATCTAAATTTTCTCGAAATAAAAGATATACAAAGTTCTAACAGTATTTTCTTTTGTTACCTTAATTTAAATTTTATCTCCATCCCAAACATACATAAATAACTGTCTTTTCTACTTTGACTGTACTTCTTTTTATTTTTTATCCTTTCTTTATATATAAAACCTCATAATATAAGTTTTTGTAAGTAAGAATAGCAGACACCGTTTGGAACCAAAATTATAACTATCGCGGATTTGTTGTTTGCTGTAAACAACTTTGTTGACAGAAATAACAACTGTTGTTGATTTTGTCAACAAAGTTGTTGACCAATTTTTTTTATAAAAAAGAATTGTTGCTGGCCAGCAACTTTGGTGAATTATTCAACAAGTGTTGATTGTAGATTTGTTTATGGATTCTGGTGTTACAATTTTTCTATTCTCAACCAGACGTTTGAGATTCATTCACGTCATTTTATCCATGTTTATTTTTATTTTTATTTCTGTTTCTATTTCTATTTCTATTTCTATATTTCTTAAAGGTTACTCGCATTCCCCCATCTTTAAGTATAGCAATTCCCAAATAATGTGACGCTATATGACTGTGCAATAATTTTCAGCCATTGTGTATTGGACATGACCAACGTTACAAACGATATCTTTGAAGCGACAAACAACATTCTTATGTTGACCAGGGCGACGTAAGACCACCTTTGGCATGAGCCTGTTGTATTTTACCACATTAATTGAGACAAGAAAATCATTCACGCCATCAAATGTCGTCTTAAAAGAGAAGGTGTTGGAACTGACATAAAGTAGACTCGTTAAATTGTTGTAGTGGCTATAAAGGTTCAAAAAAAATTGTCTGTACACCTAAACAATGACGATAAGCAACCAATCTTACTTTAGGTGGGATGCAGCAAACAAAACATAGTTAATGCCTCTTCTGGGCTCGTTGATATGATCTTTGAAAAAGAGGAGATTTACACAGTATCATCAAACCAGGTCCGACGGCGCCTTTATTACACCATCACTTGTGTTGACAAGCTCGTGGAAATCGGAATATGTTCTGCCGTAGTACAATTGTAAAACAGAGATACGTTGTCGGATTCAAGGTCACTAAACCAAATAAAACTGTCGTAAACCCAATGTTTATTTTTTACATTTTCTTCCTTTCTTTCTTCTTAAACTCACTTAAAAAAAATACTAAGGATAAATGGTAACTTTATTTCCCAATATAATATGTGTGTCTATTAACCATGCTGGCTTTGTTTTTAGCTTCAAGAGGTCCTTCTATTAATAACCTCAACGTGTTTCTAGCGCTCTTTGTTTATATGCAAGGTACTCAACTTCCAATTTGAAGCGTCCTGTTTTGCGTTTTTGTTATCTACATAACTAACAACGGTTCTCATTCAGGTAGTCTAGGAGTAATTTTTGCTCGTTATGTAGGCTGCTACTATACTCATTTATCTCTTTTAAAAAAGGA